GCGGTTCAAAAAATGGGCAGAGGTGGCACTTTGGGACATGGCTTAGTGGGCACAGTGGGGTTGGATTGATGGTTGGACTGATGATCTCAGAGATCCTTTCCAGCCTTAATGATTCCTAGTTTTTACTTTCATTAAAAAATAATCCAGCCCCCAAGCCAGGAAACATGAAATTATTCCTCTCCCTTTAATTGGTTTAGTGGTGGACTTGGCAGTGTTAGGTTAATGGTTGGACTGGATGATCTTAAAGGTCTTTTCCAACCTAAATGATTTGATGATTCTATAATTTTTCTTTTTTTCTAAGGGTGAGAACTGGGAGGGCAGAAACCTTTAGAGCCAGAGCAAGCTGCAGCCTAAGCATCCCGATACGATCCTCCCATCGTAACTTGCTTCCAAGCTGAGTTTACTTTTCCGGCTGCGCTGTTCCTGTTTGCAGGCAGCCAGCACTTCTCAGCCGCTTCTGAACCTGTTTGAAATGCCCGCCTTTCTTTCTTATGCAGGGGTAGAGGTTTTAAAAATGCTGGATTTGTACAGTTTTTGGGCAAGTTGGTGGCCGGAGGAGAAGAGATTAATGCCTCTGCTTAAGGAAGGAGTACAAGGCGAGCCTTCTCCTTGCTGGGCATCAGAGAAAGCCCTTTTCTGCGAAAAAGCAAGCGCTTTTTTGAAGGCCTCTGCGAGCATCGGGGTTTGCACCAAGCAGACATTAGAGCATCCATTCCCCAGTGACTCCCTCTCTCAGTCTCCCTTCTCCGCATCGATTCAGTGGTGGCGGCTGAGGCTGAGCACACGCTGCGCTGTGACTGTTACTCGATGCAAACGTCAGCAGGTCTGGAGAGACAGACCCAGGGAAGCCGGGCCTCCTCCGTGCCGGTGCTTTTGCCACGGCAGTCGCATGTCAGCAGCCCCGTTCCGGACCGGGACCCGGCTGCGCCCGGGCACCCTGCGGACAGGAGCCTTTTGGAGTGAGTCGTGAGGTCAGTGTCTGCTTTGCAGGATCCTCTGCTGAGGCTTTCGGCCGATGTGGATCCACTCTGAGTTTGAACGATGGGACCTGCTTGTCTTTGCCTTGCACCACCTCTGATCTCTCATCTTAAGGGATGTTCTGATAGCAAAAGGCTCCCTTGTCAGCTCTTTGCATTGATAAACGTGAGATCGGATCCCAGGAGGTCTTTCAGTCTTAAGTGCAGAGTGGGAAATAAAAAGTGTTCATAATTATGAAGGAAAAAATTTGCTGTGATGGGGGAAGCTTATAGAAGTCTGGACTCTGTGGGACCTGGTTGGGGCATGCGCTGCCCGCTTGGCTCTGCTGGGCAGGTTTTGAGCTGTGGCGTGCTGCCTGCAGAATGACAACGCTGTCTGTACCCTGCAACCGCTTCCACGATAAATATGCTGAGATGCAGATTTATTGCCCTAAAGTTC